AAGTTAGAGTTCATGATGCTTTTTATTAAAAAAAACCAAAAGGCCATATTTACCCAACTGTGTCCACAGAACAGGTTATAAAAACAATACAACTCAATAACAATTAGTACCACAAACATTCAGATTATGGTCTTTATATATCATTTCCCACTAAAGGAACCAGAGCACTTTGAATAAATGGCTAATTATAGGTATTGGGTAAGAAATGTACAAAGCCAGCCAACAAAGCAATCAAAGACTACTATGGCCATGTCAAAAGGACTCAGGAGCCAACGTGAATAAGCTCCCATTGGCCTACTATGGCCTACAATAACTGCAATGGATTATAACTCAAAAAATATGTTTAAAACCCTGGATTCACAATCATAGCTGTTCACTTTTACGGTTTTTATCCATCAGGATTTTTTTTTAACAGTTAGGTGATGATCTAATTTTATTTTTCATTAGAATAACCATTCAGTATTACTCATTGACCAGTTAATCCTTTTCTCACTGATATGTAATACCAATGTCATATATCAAATTCACATATACATATATATCTTTTCTGGGCTATTTATCTTGCTCCTTTATTTGTCCATCCTTGTACTAATACTATCTGAATTACTATATAACTATATGACTTGTTATCTAGTGGACAAGCCCCTTCAGTCTTATATTCCTCCTCAAATTGTCTTGGATCCTGTAAATATTTTTCTACATAAATGTGAAAAATATTAGTATAGCAACCTCAGCAGAAAAACACAACTTATTTTTAAAAATCACCAGCAATTCTACACTGGAAATATGAAAAAGATTAACTGAATAAGTGGGTAACTGAATAAATTTAACACTCAACTACAAGGTTATATAGGATTAAAAGTTATAAAGTAGTATTTATTATACCTGAATGTTATTACATGGTTTCTTGGGGAAAATATATAAGGACTTTGAGTTTTTGAAATATGAATTTTCCCCTATACTTTTTTGGTAAGGACAAGAACTGAAAAAGAGAAATAATCTTTAATAATCTTGAATCCAAAACGAACAATTCTTGCTAACATATATTTTCCCACACATAAAAAGAAAGTCCTGTAACTTTCCCAGAAATTGCAACTTGAACTACATACTGAACTACTATCAAAACTCATGTGCATAATCTGGAAGTTTTTAGTCATTGGGAGCCATGGCATTTCTTTTCTCTGTATCACAAACTGTTACAAGTACTTTCTTTTTACTATTAACACTGGAACAGAAGCCCTCCTATTCTGTGACTGATTGGCAAGCAGAAATGACTGGGACAGGAAATGGGAAACGGTTCAGGGTCTTGGAATTCCCCCGGATGCCTAATTAAGTGGCTTGTTATTTGGAAGTTTTTGAAATATTTGCCCCCTGGAGTTCCCCTGAAAGAAGAAAACATCTGATTTCATTGACAAAGAGTGTCTTCACAGAACATAAACTAAAAAATTCTCTCGCTGCAATGCAGCAAATATTTACCGTGTTCACCACACTGCTAGAGAGGGGGGAGAAAAACGTCCCTGACTAGGAAAACCAAGATTTTGTATTTACAATTTTTCTATCAGTTAACTAGTTAAACATGTCATAGATACAGGGCTCCTCTGTGGTTCACGTATGATTTATATATACACACGTATATGAATGTATACACTCCATCCTAGTCACATTCAGGGAAAAAAAAGGGGACTGAAGCCTGGCCTGAAGCACCGAACCGTTGCTAGTGATGAGCTTCTGAAATTAGGACACTTTTGTCAGTGCATTCGCCTCCAGAACAGGAAAAACAAAAGTTTAAAAATAAAAGATACAGTGGTTGATTATAAAATAGATATACTCCCCAAAAGACTATAAAATCAAAGCTTCAAAATTAATCCTCTGATGCTGTTCTGCTTTCCAACACTCGTCTTTTTTCCATTTTCGCGGCCAGCTGTTTAAGATTGACATCACAAAGCTGCTGAGGAAAACGGTTACAACCGTTCACTTAATCGAAGCCGAAACACCGCCGGGTTGACTCCACCCCCGGACGACGCGGTCACCCACGCCGAGGGGAGGCCCCACTAGAGGAATCCGGCTGGGGCTAGACCCCAACCGGGTGACGCGGGGGAGACGCTCACCGCCCGCGCTGGGGCGTTTCCGCAGGGCTTCGCGCGATTCAAAATCTATGGCTCACGCTTCGCCACGTCCCCCTCAGGAGAATGTCAGGAACGGCGAAGGAAGGAAACGTCCAAAGTGCTCACGCGGCGAAATTAAAGGTTGGAACGCCAAGGGGAAGCCCGGCCCCGCCGCCCCCGCGGCCTGACAGACTGCGTATGGTCTAGCGCCCGCTTCGGGCCGCTCTTCTCCTGCAGACGCCCCGGCGCCCTCGCGCGGCGTGACGCCATCCCGGCCGGCGCGCTGTCGTCACTGTGCGTCGGCGTGGGCTCTGCGCGGGCGGGGAGCTTTGGGAGCACGGGAACCGAGCCGCCCGGCTTCTTATTCTGTCGGCGTAGCAGCTCTCGAGGCTGTGGAGGATCCAGACTGCCGCGCCGTTTCCGCGTTTGCTGCGCCGGCCCAGCGGTGAGTGCAGCTCCTTCCGGGCCCCGGCCGCGCGAGGCGGGTAGGGGCGCGCGGGCCCGCTTCCCTGAGGCTGCAGTGGGTAAGGGAAGACAGGGCCGGGGGCCGAGGCCGGGGGTCGCAGTGAGCTCTCTGTTCTCTACTCTTCACTCTCGCCGAGGCTGTTTAATTCGGAAGCTCCAGCTCCAAGACTTGCGGTGGAAAATAATTTTTTTTCAATTGACCTGTTTGCAAGTCTGCTCTGGCCGCCGCCCACTTCTCCGGCCCTTGGACTCTGACCAAGATGTTCGTCAGGTTTTTGCAGGGTTTTAAACTTAACCCTCGGTATTCCTTTGTTTAGTATGTTCAAACTGAGACAGTTGTGTGGCGGCAGATTTCCTATATCAGATAGTTGCAACCGCGCTCTGCCACTTTAGTGGTCTATTGTGTATTGTGAGAAATAGCTCCGGAAAATTAATAGGTAAATTCCATAGTTTCTCTTATTTTCCCTTGCACTTTGTCCCCCGCCTTCAACCCCCAAAGCCACAGTTTGCCTAAAGAGGGCAAATCCACCGTACGGTGCTTGTAGATAAAAATCTGTAAAGATAGGACACCAAGTTCTGGTGTAACGAAAGCATTCATGCAAGTCGTCACATTCCCAAGGGCAGTGTTTCATAAGCCATTACTGTATACTGTATATTGTTTTCAAGTTGCTTTCTGTGGTTGTTTAGCTTTGGAATTGTGAGGGCATTGTAGAGTTGTAGGGTTTTATTGGTGGGTTCCTGATGCATTTACTCTCACTGGTCAGTTTGCCTAGTCCTGGAGAGACTTGACATTAAGAAATAACGTTACAGTCTATTATGCCATCTAAGTAACTGCTGCATTGTTGCTGATGGGTGCAGTCTCTTTTTCACCACTAGTCCCCCTTTGCCTCTAGCAAACTGCCAGAGATATTATCCTTAAACTATTAAAAGTTGTCACCAGAAGAGGGGAGGAGACCAAGGCCAAAATATGTTTCTGTGTCCATCTGTCTTCAAAGTTGTGCATTAAAAAAAGTATTCTTAGTGCTACTGGGAGTATATTGCAGTTATTTTGATTAAAAGCTTTTCTAATTAGTTTTGTTGACAAATAGCTGGAATGAAGCTGTACTATCTTAAGTGTAAATCACTTAGAATTTACTTAATAAATTGAAAAGAATATAAATTGTATTCATCGTGAAAATAACACTTTTCTAAAATAGCGTTTGTTTTTTCTTTTCAGATTTACAGCCCTGAAGAGTCTACTTTTTCCCCCTCATTTTTCCCCCTGCAGTAATAAATCCTGTTATGGAGACTCAGAAACTTTATAAAGGGATATAGTTTGAATTCTGTGGAGTGTAATTTTGTGTATGAATTATACTTTTAAAATATGAAGGGTTTTCAGAAAGAAGGCTAGTAGAGTTAATTACTGGTTTATTATGCATGAGCAGTAATTTTGTTGGTAATACAGTACCTTAGGCATTTGTGATAACACTAGAAAGGACAAGCTGTATCTTGATAAATTGATTTACCTTTAATTACAAAATGAATGATATTATAGATGTATGATTCTTAAATGAAAAACAAGTTATTTAATATTTTTGTAAGAAGTTTCAGCTGTGGAAATTTTATGGTTAACTAGTTTATGGAGAAAATACCTTCATTTGGTCAAGTATACTAAAGTGGTAGGCAAAGTTAGGAAGAAACACAACATAATAATGATGCTGCAGGAAATGGAAACAAATACAGACAATATTTAACAAAGACAGAAGAGTTAGCAGTTTGTGAGTTTTAAGCAAAATTCATTTCATTTGACATTGTATGCAGTATAACAGGTTTAGGTTCAACAACACTTGTAGGTATTGACATCTCCAAAAGTTGTTAGCTGAAGCTGGTTTAACCTTCTTAAGTAAATACTATGATGATAAACTTTGTGAAATTGGCCTTTAGATAATGTGACCATATGAAGACTTTAATTCTTCTTGTTTACTAGAATAAAAGAAGATTTAAAAAAATATGTTAAAGTGCTCATAGGGAAAGTGATATCCCGGCTTTGTAGCTTGTAACCGAAAGCAAATTAAAGGCATAATTTAGGTATTCTATCCTTGTTTAGAATTTTTGGAATATAAACCTCCTTGAAAAGTCAAGGAGTCTTAGCGTATTTTTGGAGGTGTGTCAACTTCTTTCAGGCTATTAGGTCAGTATTACACCAAATAATGAGCAAATAGCATTTGAGTTAATATAATCCCAGAGACTATTAAATAGTATCTTGGTAATTTAGGAGAGATATTCATCCTACCTGAGTATCAACTCAGGTATAAGTCCAGTAAAGAAGGTGTAGTGAATTTTACATAAGTAGGGGCCTATCATTTGATTCTTTTTTATGAAAAAAAGCTAATGTGAGGGGAAGAGAATTGTCATGTGAAGGGTTTTAGCAGTCAAAAAGTAAAATGACTCATGCACAAAACTACCTCCCAAAGACTTTTTCCCGATCCCTTGTATTAAAAAATTAATAAGAGTATGATGGAAGATAGAACGATCTTGTCAAATTGGACAATCGTCAACAAACAAAAAATGAAATATGACTTTTCATGTGAACTCTACCGAATGTCTACATATTCAACTTTCCCTGTTGGTGTTCCTGTCTCAGAAAGGAGTCTTGCTCGTGCTGGTTTTTATTACACTGGTGTGAATGACAAGGTCAAATGCTTTTGTTGTGGCCTGATGCTGGATAACTGGAAACAAGGAGACAATCCTATTGAAAAGCATAAACAACTATATCCTAGCTGTAGCTTTATTCAGAATCTAGTTTCTGTTACTAGTCTGGAATCCACCTCTAAAAATGTTTCCTCTTCAATGAGAAACAGTTTTACACATTCATTATTACCTACTTTGGAACATAGTAGCTCGTCCAGTGGTTCTTATTCCAACCTTTCACCAAACCCTGTTAATTCTAGAGCAGTTGAAGACTTTTCCCCAATGAGGACTAACCCCTACAGTTATGCCATGAGTACTGAAGAAGCGAGATTTCTTACTTACCAGATGTGGCCATTAACCTTTTTGTCACCATCAGAATTGGCAAGAGCTGGCTTTTATTATATAGGACCTGGAGATAGAGTAGCCTGCTTTGCCTGTGGTGGGACTCTAAGTAACTGGGAACCGAAGGATGATGCTGTGTCAGAACACCGGAGACATTTCCCCAACTGTCCATTTTTGGAAAATTCTCTGGAAACGCTGAGGTTTAGCATTTCAAATTTGAGCATGCAGACACATGCAGCTCGACTGAGAACATTTATGTACTGGCCTTCAACTGTACCAGTTCAGCCTGAGCAGCTTGCAAGTGCTGGTTTCTATTATGTGGGTAAGAAAATGTATAGCTATACATTTTATCTAGTTCATTTTGATTTATATATTAGGACACGTATGTATTCAGTTTTATTATTGTGTTTTCTTTAGGTCGCAATGATGATGTCAAATGCTTTTGTTGTGATGGTGGCTTAAGGTGTTGGGAATCTGGAGATGACCCATGGGTTGAACACGCCAAGTGGTTTCCAAGGTAATTGTTTTGAAAGGTATTTCTACACAAATTCTGTGCTTAAACAAGTAGGCATGCTTGCATGATTAAGTTTACATTTCAATATAACAAAGCTTCTTTATACCATTAGGGAATTAGCCTTTTTAAAACACCAAATTGTAACATTAATTGTTTTGGTACAAAATGTTGTAGAATGTTGTATGATTTCTTCTTTTGTAAGCCATGTATTCAGGATATAATTTAACTTACTCTTGATGACTCACAATTATTGCCATACGTTTCATTTATGTTTTCCATTTTGCTTTAAAGAAGACTTAAGGATTATAAAAATATGTAAAATAGAACAAAAAGGAGATAAGTAAGAAAAAGATAAGAAGGAAAAAGGAAAATAAGAAGGGACATGAAATGGATCTAGGAATAGGATAAATACAAAAATGCATATAATAAAAGCTGATTGTACAATCAGTATTAAGTCTGATTATAATTGTAAATTATTTTTTCTCTGTACAATTTTATCTTGTCACGATATGTCAGATATCTCCCTTTAGTCACTCTGTTTCTACTACTGTGTCCTATTTTTTACTATAGCCTAGAAAGAATTTAGAGGCAGTGCTGTTGATGGAAATAGAATTAATTCTGTCTTTGTTACTCAGTAGCTATGTGAACTTGGACAAGTCATGTGACACCTTTGAGCCTTTCCTCATCTGTAAAATGAGGGAGTTGAAATAGATAATATGGTCTTTTAAAAAAATTGTAAAATGTACCTAATATAAAATTTGCCGTTTTAACCATTTTTAAGTATACAGTTCTATGACATTAAGTACATTCACATTATTCCTCATTCATTACCACCATCTATTTCCAGACTTTTAAAAAATCTTCCCAGACTGAATCTTGTACTCATTTCATTAATTCCTCATCCCTCCCTCACTGCAGCCCCTAGCAACCACCATTCTGCTTTCTGTCTCTATGAATTCGACCATTCTAGGTACTTTATATAAAAGTGGAATCCCATCATGTAGGTAATGTTTTGACTGGTGAGTGCCTTTCACAATAATGAGGAATCTCTTGAACCTCTTTAATATTCATAATGTATCAAGATAAATTGTGACTTTTTAATTCTAAAAAGTGATACATATTTTGTTTACTTTAAATTATTTTTGTAGGAAAAAAGCATGTTCCATTATCAGAATTGTATTTTCTTTTCTTTTTTTCTTTTTGGCCCCACCACACAGCTTGCGGGATCTTAGTTCCCCAGCCAGGGTTGGAACGCAGGCCACAGCAGTGGAAGGGCCGAGTCCTAACCACTGGGCCACCAGAGAATTCCTGATTGTCAGAATTTTAAATGATTTGATTGTGCTTGGCTCTATGAGAGTATGTACATATAATTTGAAAATTAATACTGTATTAAAAAGAAACAGCTTTCCAATTACAGTGTTTCAGTTGCTACATTTTGTCCTTTATAAAACAAAACCAGGGCTTCCCTGGTGGCGCAGTGCTTGAGAGTCCGCCTGCCGATGCAGGGGACGCGGGTTCGTGCCCCGTTTCGGGAGGATCCCGCATGCCGCGGAGCGGCTGGGCCCGTGAGCCATGGCCGCTGAGCCTGCGCGTCCGGAGCCTGTGCTCCGCAAATGGGAGAGGCCACAACAGTGAGAGGCCCGCATAACGCAAGAAAAAAAAAAATCCTCAACAAAATAAAAAAAAAAAAAAAAAAAAAAAAAAAAAAACAAAACCAAACAAAATCTTGGTTTACTTCTGTAATTTGTGTTTTGTTTTAGATGGTTAAGTAAGGGAAAAGGCCAGCGGTGCTTTTTGTAAGCAACAAATTTCAATTGTGGATAATCTTTAATCTCAGAAAATGAAAAGCCAAAGTGGATAATCATTATCCACTTAAAATCCACTGTATTTTAACACAGTTTATTTATTCATTTATTAAATATTTGTATGCCTACTGGATACTGTTTTATTTTATTTTTTCCCTCTTAACATTTTTAGTAATAATCATTCAAAAGAAGAGATAATAGGGTTTACATTTCTGTATACAAAAGGAATTTCTGTTTTTCATCAGTATTGGTATTTACACAACAGTGTGGAATCAAATAAAAAATCAAGCCAAAGCAAAAGAAAGAAGAACCAAATTAAAGTGAAAGGCAAAAATTATGGTACCATTGCATATGAGGTTGAAAATAAAATTAATAGGCAGACAAATGCAAATTTTGCAGCAGACCAGGAAGAATACTGGGATTCATTTCGATTGAGCATGATAATTCATGACAGTAACAGCATTGTCTGAAGGCAAGAGTCCTAGGAATAAGTAGTTGAAAGTAACGATGGGAAATCAGACATCATCATGAGGATCCTTTTTTCCCTTCTAATAGCTTTTTTTAAAAATTGAAATATGTGACACAATATTATGTTAGTTTCAGGTGTACTACATGGTGATTTGATACTTGCATACATTATGAAATTGTTACCATGGTAAGCCTAGTAACCATCTGTCCCCATACAGAGTTATTGCAATATTATGACCATACTCTTTATGCTGTATATTACATCCCCATGGCTTATTTATTTTATAACTCAGGTTTGTACCTGTTAATCCCTTTCACCTATTTCCCTATATCCCCCTGATAACTATTTTAGATGCTGGGAATATATCAGTGAATAAGACAGACAAAAATCTCTGTCCTCATAGAATTTATTGGAGAAGGGGGAAATAGAGGGCAGCCAATGTTCATTATACTTCCTGTCTTTAGTCGTTATGAATATAAGTTAGTCAGTCCCAGAATAAAAATACTTTAGAACTATATTAAGATCATGAACAATGACAAGCTGTATTCTCTGCATGATGAACTTGAGTCTTGAGCATGCTTACATGATCTCTACTAAATCTACCCATTTACCAGTTGAAGGACATTTGGGTTGTTTCCAGTTTGGAGCAATAATGATTAAAGCCACTCTAAACATTAATAAACCTTTGTGAACATATGTTTTTGTCTTGCTTAGGTAAATGTACTTAGGAGTGGTATAGTGGGTTGGATGGCAAGTTTTGTTTACTATTGTAACTTTAGAAGAAACTGCCAAATCGTTTTCTGAAGTAGCTGTACCATTTTAAATTCCCACCAGGAATGTATGATACCTGTAAGAATTCCAGATTCTCAATGACACATGGTATTGTCAATCTTTTTGATTTTAACCATTCTAACTGATGTGTAGTGGTATTTCATTGTGATTTTAATTAGCATTTCCTTAATGATTAATGATGGTGAGCTTCTTATTTGCCATCTATATACAGTTGTCCCTCAGTGTCAGTGGGGGATTGGTTCCAGGACAGTCCCAGGGATTCCCCTCAAGAAACCAAAATTCATGGATGCTCAAGTCCCTCATATGACATAGTACAGTCAGCCCTCTGTATCTGTGGGTTCTTCATCCTTGGAACTGTATTTGTTTTGATGAAGTGTCTCTTTAAAATTTTTTTTTTTTGATTACTAAGTTCCGAGACTTATCAATATATTCTGGATACAAGTCCTATATCAGATGTCTTTTGCAGCGTTTCAGTCTGTGGCTTGTCTTTCCTTTTCTTATTAGTGTATTTGATGAGCAGAAGTTTTTAATTTTGAAGATGTCAGTTTATCAATTTTATCTTTTATGGATTGTGCTGTTGGTCTCTTAGCTAAGAAATCTTTACCTAACCTAAGGACAAAAAGATTTTCTCCTAGGGTTTCCCTGGTGGTGCAGTGGATAAGAATCTGCCTGCCAATGCAGGCGACACAGGTTCGATCCCTGGTCCGGGAAGATCCCACATGCACGAGCAGCTACGCCTGTGTGCCACAACTACTGAGCCTGTGCTCTAGAGCCCGTGAGCTGCAACTACTGAAGTCCCTTGCCTAGATCCCGTGCTCCACAACAAGAGAAGCCACCGCAGTGAGAAGCTTGTGCACTGCAACGAAGAGTAGCCCCAGCTCACTACAACTAGAGAAAGCCTGCGTGCAGCAATGAAGACCCAACACAGCCAAAAATAAATAAATAAAATAAAAATTAGAAAAAATAGAAAAAAAGATTTTCTCCTGTGTTTTCTTTTAGAAGTTAAATTGACAGGTTTTGTATTTAGGCATATTATTCATTTTTAGTTTGTTAACATGTTATATGAACTTCCTGGAACACCATTGAGAAATTCTAGTAGTTTGAAAGCAAGTATTTGGGAAACACTGTCACATGTATAGATGAAAATACTTGGTTCTCTGTTTTTTAGAGAGAGGGTTTGTGCTTTAAGTATAATGGTAGAGTGGACAATGGAGATAGATTAGCAGATATTTTGTGAAAGACCACATGTTAGGAATAGCAAATTAAAGTTTCTGAAACTATGTTAAGTCCCCAAAGTAAATTATCTAGAACAGTATTTTTCAAGCCTTAGCTTGTGCTCCTTTGAGATCCGTATCTTTTTATTGTTGTGATTGTATTAATGCAATCAAACAAAATATCACAATGCATCAAATGCATAGTAAGAATTTGTAATATTGTATGAGAGTTTTGTTCTTGTTAGATGTGTATATGTACTAGGTTGTGATGTAAAATGTTTGTACTATGGGGTACAATCAAATAATTTGAAAGCCACTTTTCTAGAATAATCAGGTTATATTTTTGGTATAAAAGAACTTAAAAAATTTTCCTCTTACGTTTTAGGTGTGAGTTCTTGATATGCATGAAAGGGCAGGAGTTTGTTGATGAGATTCAAGCTAGGTATCCTCATCTTCTTGAACAGGTAAATACGTTTTTATAATTGGCAACATTGAATTCTCCTAGGTGATAATTACAAAATATGATTAGAAGTGACAATTACATGTTTTCTCATTAATTATAGTTACATGTTTCGTGTCCATCTTAATGGACATATTTGTTCAGAGGCTTTTAAAAAAAGACTTTTTTTTTCCTTTTTTTTGAAAAATCACTCAACCTGCCACTGTACAAATTTGTGTTGGGGTTGGAGAAGAGTCTTTAGTGTCTCCTCCATATTTTTGAGAAAAACAAAATCACTTGTTAGCACTTTGGAATCTCTGAGAGTGATTCAGCTGAAATATGACTTTCTAAGTGGAATGAGAAACCATTAATACTTTTTCCTGTTTTCTTGAAACTAGAGAAATACTTGAATTCTAATTTGGAATTGGGTGATATATAAGGAAATGTTTTATGATGATTAAAGTAAAACAGCAAATTGAAGTATGTTTTCAAAAGCGTGTGTACAGTACTTACGATAAACTTATCTTAATGTTGCTGTGTTCAGGTTGTTTGAGATTTCTGATTTTATCTATTATTTTTTTCTCCTGTTTCATAGCTATTGTCAACTTCAGATACTATCGGAGATGAAAATGCTGATCCACCAAGTATGTATGAAAATATTCCAAATATAGAATAGAATTTTTTTGTAAGAGTATTAAATGAAAGTATGTAAACAAAGGACTTCTGAGGTCATAGAAAAAAGTGCTAGAAAGTTAATAAATATTATGTATCTACTAAGATTCATGACATTTTTAGAGGATTCTTGGAAGTATTCTAGTTTTTGTTCTTCAAGTGCTGACATTCTCACTGGAGAAAGACAAGTGCAAAAGAAAAACAACTTCAGGGAATACCAAATGAGAAGAACAAATAATAAGCCCTCCAAAAAGGAAATGTTTGTATAAGCTAGCATGTTTGGAAAGGCCCAGTTCACATGATTTGAAAATTGGGCTAGATATTAGGTATTTGCCAGGTATGTAGTAGTTTAGTGCAAGGATAGGAAATATGTCTTCTAGTTATAATTTAATTTTAGCCACATCTGGCATTTAGTGTATACTGTTATTCAGGTCTCCTTTTTCCTTATTAACTTTCTGGATGATCTAGCCAGTGTTGAAAATGGGATATTGAAGTCACCTACTATTATTGTATCGCTCTCTATTTCTTCCTTTAGTTATGTTAATATTTGCTTTAAATATTTAGATGCTTCAATGTTTGTTGCATATAAATTTACAGTTGTTTTATGTACTGTTAATGAGTTGACCGCTTCATCACTACATATAGTGATCTTTGTCTCTTGTCACTGATTTTGACTGAAAGTCTATTTTATGTAAGTATAACCATTCCTCATTACTTTTGATTACCATTTGCATAGAACACCTTTTATATCTTTCATTTTCAACCTTTCTGTGTCCTTAAAGCTGAAGTGATTCTTTTATAGGCAGCATACTGTTGGATCTAGTGGGGTTTTTTTAATCCATTCAGCCATTCTTTGTCTTTTGATTGGAGAATTTAGTCCATTTACATTTAAAATAATTATTGGCATTGTAATTATTGATATATAAGGACTTTTTATTATGATTTTATTAATTGTTTTCTGACTGTTTTTTTAGTTCTTTTGTTCATTTCTTCCTCTTTTGCTCTCTTCCTTTCTGATTTATTTTCTGTAGTAGTGTGCTTTAATTTCTCTATTGTATTTTCTGTATGTACTATAGGTTTTTTCTTTGTGTTTACCATGAAGCTTATGTAAAATATCTTAGATACAATAGTCTATTTTAAGCTAATAACAACTTACCTCAATTTACAAAAACTCTACAGTTTTACTTCTCCTCATCCCATGTTTTACACTATTGATGTCATACTTTTTATCTTTTTATAGTCCGTATCCAGTAACAAGTTATTATAGTTATAGTTAATAATATTTTTTATTTTTATGTTTTTTTCTATAAATATTTCTTTTTTCTTTTAACTTTTATTGGAATATAGTTGGTTTACAATGTTGTGTTAGTTTCAGGTGTACAGCACAGTGAGTCAGTTATACATATATATATTCATTCTTTTTCAGATTCTTTAACCATATAGGTTATTGTAGAATATTGTGTAGAGTTTCCTCTGTAAGTCCTTGTTGGTTATCTATTTTATATATAGTTATGTGTGTATGTTAATCCTAAGCTCCTAATTTATCCCTCCCCCTGCACATTTCCCTTTTGGTAACCATAAGTTTGTTTCTGAAATCTGTGAGTCTGTTGCATTTTGTAAATAATTTCATTAAATCACTTTTTAAAAAATTTGATTCCATATATGAGTGATTCCATATGATATTTGTCTTTCTCTGACTTCTCTTAGTATGATAATCTCTAGGTCTATCCATGTTGCTGCAAATGGCATTATTTTGTTCCTTTTTATGGCTAATATTTCATTGTATATATGTACCACATCTTCTTTATCCATTCCTCTATCAGTGGATGTTTGGGTTGCTTCCATGTCTTGGCTATTGTAAACAGTGCTGCAGTGAACATTGGGGTGCATGTTTCTTTTCAAATTATGCTTTTCTCCAGATATATGCCCAGGAATGGGATTGCTGGATCATATGGTAGTTCTCTGTTTTAGTTTTTTAAGAAACCTTCATACTGTTCTCCATAGTGGTTATACCAAGGTACATTCCCACCAATAGCGTAGGAGGGTTCCCTCTTCTCTACACCCTCTCCAGTGTTTATTGTTTGTAGACTTTGATAATGGCCATTCTGAATGGTGTGAGATGATACCTCACTGTAGTTTTGATTTACATTTCTCTGATAATTAGTGATGATGAGCATCTTTTTATGTGCTTTTTGGTCATCTGTATGTCTTCTTTGGAGAAATGTCTATTTAGATTTTCTGCACATTTTTTGATTGAGTTGTGTTTTTTTTGACATAGAGCTGCATGTGCTGTTTGTATATTTTGGGAATTAAGCTCTTGTCGCTCGCATCATTTGCAAATATTTTCTCCCATTCTGTGGGTTGTCTTTTCATTTTGTTTATGGTTTCTTTTGCTATGCAAAATATATTGTTGATTTTTAACTTATGCTAGAGATACAGTATAGGGTGTTATGAATTTGACTACATATTTACCTTTACCAGTAAGTTTTATTTCATGTTGTTACTTAGCGTCTCTTCATTTTAACTTGAAATCACTTTAGTATTTTCTTGTAAGGCAGGTTTAGTGTTGATGAACTCCCTCAACTTTTGCTTGTCTGGAATGTTTTTATCTCTCCTTCATTTCTGAAGGACAGTTTTGCCAGTGTTCTTGGTTGGCATTTTTTTTTTTCTTTTAGCAGTTTGATATATTAAGTCATTATCTCCTGGCCTTCAAGGTTTCTGCAGAGAAATGTGCTGATAGCTTTAGGGGGTTCCTTTGTATGTGAGGAGTCATTTTTTTTCTTGCTGCTTTCAAAATGGTTTCTCTGTCTTTTCGCTTTTAATATTTTGACTATAATGTGTCTTGGAGTAATCTTTGGGCTGATCTTACTTGAGGTTCCTTGAGCTTACTGTTTGTGGATATCCATATCTCTCCCAAGATTTAGGAGCTGAAGTTTTCAGCTATTATTTCTTTAAGCTTTCTTCCATTTTTTCTGTCTTCTGGGATTCCCATGATTTGACTGTTTATTCATTTGGTTGTGTCCTATAATCCATGTAGGCTTCCTTCACTCTTTCATTCTCTTTTCTTTTTGTTCCTATAAGTGGCTAATTTCAAATGATCTCCATTTGAGTTCTCTGATTCTTTCTTCTGCATGAGCAAGTCTGTTGTTGAAGTTCTCTATTGATGTTTTTCAGTTCTGTCCTTGGATTCTTCAGCTCCAGGTTTTCTGTTTGATTCTTTTTTGTGGTTTCTATTTCTTGATTAAATTCTGGTTTTGTTCATGCATTGTTATCTTCATTTCATTTAGTTGTTTACCTTTGTTCTCTTGAATTTTGTTGAGTTTTTTTTTGTTGTTGTTGTTTGCGGTACGCGGGCCTCGCACTGTCGTGGCCTCTCCCGTTGTGGAGCACAGGCTCCGGACGCGCAGGCTCAGCGGCCATGGCTCACGGGCCTAGCCACTCTGCGGCATGTGGGATCCTCCCGGCATGTGGGATCTTCCCGGCATGTGGAATCTTCCCGGACCGGGGCACGAACCCATGTCCCCTGCGTCGGCAGGCGGACTCTCAACCACTGCGCCACCAGGGAAGCCCTGTTGAGTTTTTTTAAGGTGACTCTATTGAGTTCATTGTCAGGCAAATCATAGATCTTCATTTCTTTGGGGTCAGTTCTGGATCTTTATTGGTTTCTTGTGATGGTGTCATATGTGCCTGATTTGTATGATATTTGTATGTAGCCTTGCCTTGGTGTCTGTGCATTTGAGGGAGCAAACGCTGCTTGCAGTCTTTATTGACTGGTTTTGGCAGGTAAAGATCTTCTCCTTTCAGTCTTGATGGATACTGAGCTGTTTCTGGGTTTGTAGCTGGGACCATGGTCAGGGATTCAGGTGCCTGGTACAGGCCAGTCTTCTCAAAATGGCTCTCCTTGGTCTTGGAATACACTGGGGTTTCATAATCTTATACCTAAATCCCAAAGCCTCCCACAAAGGCACTTTTGTCCTTGGATGGATTCTAAAATGTTGTTGAGTGGGGTACAAGTTGGGGGCATCTTAAGCGGCAATCTTGCTATCATAGTTTCCTGCATCCTTCTTAAGGTATGTTCCTCACTTGGCTTCCTGGACACCACATTCTTTTTTTGTTTGTTTTGTTTTTGTTTTTGTTTTTTTCAGTACACGGGCCTCTCACTGTTGTGGCCTCTCCTGTTGCAGAGCACAGGCTCTGGACGTGCAGGCTCAGTGGCCATGGCTCATGGGCCCAGCTGCTCCGTGGCATGTGGGATCTTCCCGGACCGGGGCATGAACCCATATCTCTTGCATCGGCAGGCGGACTCTCAACCACTGCGCCACCAGGGAAGCCCTGGGCACCACATTCTTGGTTTTCCCCTATTTCCCTGGTTGATCATGAACAATTTCCTTTGGTGGTTACTCCTTTTTCAAACCTCTAAATGATGGAGTACCTCTCAACATTCAACCCAAATGTATTTCTCCATTTCCTGAGCTGCAGACTGGCATGTTCAACTACCTGTTTAAATCTCTACTTGGTTATACTGGGTGTCTCAGAGTTAATATAACCAAAGCAAACATTTTCTCCCTGTCCTTCATCCCTCAAATTTGCTCTTCCTCTGGTCTTCCCAACTCAGTTAATGGCACTCACTTCCTAAGGTCAAAAGTTGACTTAACTTAGACATCATCCCTGATTCCTCCTTTTACTTTGTATATTTAATCTGTTAGAAGTCCTTCCATCTCTGCCTTTATAATATGTCCCAAATCTTACCACTTCTCTCCATCTCCACCACTATTAGCCTGATTCAAGCTGCCATGAGTGCCATAAAGTCATTTTATGACTTTTTGTCATAAAATCCTAACAGGTCTCCCTGATTCCATTTTACCTCATCTTTTGAAAAAACAAATCAGGTTTTATCAGTACCCTACTTAAAACCCTCCTAGAATATTGTAGCAAACTTAGAATAAAATATAAACTCCTCAAAAGGCTCTACATGATCTAGGCATCACCCTCGTCTCTGACTTTGCATCACCTTTCTGTTTCTTGAATATATCAGGCTTTTCTCTTGACTTGAGGCTTTTATACTTGCTGTTCTCTTTGCCTGAAAGATTTCTTTCAGATATTCCTATAGTTCACTCCTTATCTTTCAGGTGTTTGTTCTGGCATGTTCTCTCTTCAGACAGGGTTTCCACATATGTTTGAGCAAGGGAGCACATGCACATTGTATATTTATTTTTATTATAAAACAGTTTTCCAGCAGATGGCAGTAAAGTCTCTTGAAGAATTATGTCATTTTGTAATTTTCACAGAAGTGCCATATTGGCTAGCATTGACCCTGTTCTCAGAAAATGCTTCTCTGATCACACTCATCTATCCACATCTCTAGGTCTTGGCCATCCTTTAAGTTCAAACTCTAATGCCATCTTTTCCATGAAGTTTTTGTTGATTTCCCCCACTTTTCTAGCTGAATTGAGATAATTTTTCACTTCTAAATTTGTGTAGCATCTCAGTTTCCAAAATTGACTGTACATAAGAATCATCTGAGGAATATTTAGAATATTCCTATTCCCCATCCCTAAGAGTCTCTAATTAAGTAGGTCTAGGATGTGGGAAGTGGTATTTTTTAAAAGTACAGCCTATTACTACACTCTCATTTAATGCTTATCAGGTTCAAACGTTTGTTGGAGTTATAGGTAATTGGTGTATATAGCTCATCTCCCTTACCAGGATATAATCCGCACTAGAGTAAAGACTGTATCATAGTCATTATTCTCTGTATTTTTATATTTATGGAATTTATACAGATACATGTCTTTTAAACTAGTTGTTCATTTTGGACCTGGAGAAAGTTCTTCAGATGATGCAGTCATGATGAATACACCTGTGGTTAAAGCTGCCTTGGAAATGGGCTTTAGTAGAAGCCTGGTAAAGCAGACAATCCAGAGTAAAATCCTAACAACTGGAGAGAATTACAAAACAGTTAATGATATTGTGTCAGCACTTCTTAATGCTGAAGATGAAAAAAGAGAAGAAGAGAAGGAAAGACAAACTGAAGAAACAGCATCAGGTATTTGGGAATGTTAGTCACCTGCATTACTTCCATTGAGGGCTCATAGGACTGTCTCACGTGTTGCAGGACAGTGGGCATCCCCCTCTGTCCACTAACTGCTGGTGACAGCCACCAGTCATTTCCAGCCTCACATCCCCTTCTTCACTGTGGGTAATGTATCACCCTAGTCAAGAAGCACTGACTACTTTTTTTTTTTTTTTGAATGCTTATTTTCCAAGAAGATTGCTGATTTATGCTAATCAGAGGATTTTAGCATAATTCCTTTCTTGAGCTATATTGCATTTCTTTCTCATATATTAACAAATTTAAACTATTTTGAAAAAGCAAGATTTTATAGTTGGGTGCCTGTCTTGTTTCTACATTTTTTTTTTTAAGTTCTTTCAAATCATATTCTTAACATGGTGTTTGACTGTCTAATCATTGCTTAGTGATCCTTATGCAAAAAATAGAACCCATGATGAAATCCTAGGCTTTGATGAGAAGCACCTGCCCAGTCCAAAGATAGTAGAGAACTGATTTTGGTATTCATCCAGATTATGTTAAGCTTCAGACTCCCAAAACAAGTCTTTTGAGTAATCATTCCTTTAATAAATGTTAATTGAGGATGAGCACCTGTGCCAAATACTGTGCTTGCTATTCATGGTGCTTACTTTCAAGGAGCTTATAGACTAGCTATGGAAACTAGTATGCAGAAGATAGGGTTAAAAGGCCAGCAGAGGTGAAGGTTGCATATATAATGTAAATTGGGGCATTTGGGTTGGAAGACACTCTCTCAGTTTAAGCTTTTAAGTAATGTTAGGAATAGTTTGAGAACCTCATTGTTTGGCCATGTTACACAGTGTTTGAAGTTTGATTTCTAGTTGAGACAGGTTTGTGTTTAAACCCTGGCTCTGTCAGTTACCAGGTTGGCAATTACTTTAACCAGACCTCAGTTTTTCTCATCTGTAAAATGAGGATAATAACAGTACCAATTGCATGGGGCAGCTATAGAAATTAAATGAGATGTTACAAGTAAAACAGTTTAGCACAGTGCCTAGAACATCAAAAAAATTTTTTTTAAGTAGATTTATTTGGGGAATGGGAAGGGCTTCGTGAAAGAAAGGGCCTGAGGAAAGTGAAAAGATTTAAAGATTGTTAACCAGTAATAAAACACAGGTTAAATGAAATCACTCCAATAAAACTGGTCACCATAGTTTTGTGACTTTCTTATTCTTTGTAAGGTTCAACGAATAGTCTTAAATTATGGATTTTTTGTTTTGTTTTGTTTTGTTTTGGGCCAAGTGGCATGTGGGATCTTAATTTCCTGACCAGGGATCAAACCACGCCCCCTGCAATGGAAGTGCAGACTCTTAACCACTGGACTGCCAGCGAAGTCCCTTGAATTACGGATTTGAAATTGTTTCTTAATAAGCAAACAAGTCAGAAAAGGAATAGGGAGGAAGAATTTAGGATGCTAATAAGAGAAGATCATTGAGACATCTGACTACATCTAGACTAGAATGGGAAGTAAGCAAAGCCAGGAGACAATCTTGTGTTAGTAGTTGGGAATGACATGGAGATTGAAGAACAAATGTTAGTAGTGAGGTGAATTATTAAGGTAGAAGGATCTAAGTTGTGGTCAGAGAAGGGAATTCCATAATTTTGAGATGAATAGAGTGTTTGACTTCTAGAAAGAAGTAAAAGGTGAAGGAAATGGTCTTTTTTTTCCCTGGAACTTTACAATAGACTTCTTTTTTATTTCTCATTAAACTTGTAAATATAAAAATGTACTTTCTTTTTTTAAGGTTGAAAGCAGGCAGTTAAATATTATGGTGATTGCGGGCAACAGAAGAGGAACTTTTTGAAAAATACTGTAGGAATTTATGCCCATGTTCCATAAATGTAGGAAATTTAACAATGGATTTTGTGCTTTTTAAAAAAGATTAGGCTTGATTCATATGCAGTCTTTTTTAATTGCTATAAACCTAGACCTTTATAAGACAATATTGGTAGCTAATTATGTGCCAGATATTGTGATAAATACTTCACATGTATCTCATTTAATCCTTACAACTCTTTGAGAAAGGTACTATTATTATCTGCATTTTACAGATGAGGAAACTGAGGTGTATGGAGGTTAGGGCACATAGCTAGTAAGTGGCTAAGCCAGTGTAGGGCTCTAAGTCTGTCCTAACTCTACAGCTCAAAACTCTTCAACACTGCTTACTGCTTCTTAAACATGGAGTTGAAGACACTAATCTAGGAGACCTGATTCTATAACTGATTCTATCTGTGACCTTCGATAGGTCACAGTTAATGATATTGTGAATCTGTCTCTCCCTATCTGAAAATGAGAAGCAGTCATACCTGCCTTGTTTAATTGATAGGATCTTTTTATCAAAGGAGACAATTCATATGAAAATGCTTATAAAAGTAAAGTGATTTAATGCAAAGAGAAGTCAGTAGTGATTCCATGGGGGCAAAGTACAGAGGTTGCAAATTTATACTGCCCTCTAAAATTCTCAGCTTACTTTCAGCAGG